GGCGCGACCCGTCAAGACGCGCTCGCTCCAGCAAGACGCAGCGCCTCCCCACGCTCCCACGCCCTCCTCCCTAACGCAGCACCTCCTTCCCTCCGCGAGCTCCTCGGCGACCGTGTGCCCGCTCCAAGACGACAACGACGATGGAGACGAAGTCGGCAGCGACAAATGGCTCCGACGAGGTAGGCCGTTCCTCCTCCCTTGGATCTGAGCCCACCGGAGACAAAGATGACGGTGGCGGTGGCTAGGGTTCTCAGCGAAGCTTCTCCCCTCTTTCTTCTCCAATTTTGGCGGCTATAGAAGGGGCCGTGCTGGGAGGAGGCAAGCAAGCCGTGCTGCTTAGGGGCCCTAGTGATGGTAGTGGCGGCGGGACCAGGTCGGGTGGGGCGCTTTTGTCGGAGTTGGAGAAGACGGCAAAGCAATGAAAGCTCACCAAAGTTGGAGAAGATGACGGTGGGGAGGGGAGGGAAGAAAGAAGCATGGCTGCCACGGGCGCTAGGGTTGGGCACTAGGGTTCACCGGCTCTCGATGAACCCTAAGCGCCCCATGGCGGGCGCGTGTAGGTCTGCGGGGTGACGACGATCATGAACGGAGGGGGGCACGGTCGAGGACAAGGCGAGAAGAGGAAGGGCGCGTGGCGGGAGGTTGAAGATGGGTCACGTACTCCTTCAGTGCATGACACATCACGCAATAATCAGGTCCTTTTAGAACTATCACGTGCTCCCTCGCGTGTGCTCCCTCATAGCGTGATCCGTCTCGTGATAATTGTGTCCTTTAGAACTGTCATGTGCTCCTCAAATACAGTAACCCCTCACGCGATAATCGTGTCCTTTTAGAACTATCGCGTGCTCCCTCGTAGCATGACCCGTCACACAATAATCATGTCCTTTTAGAACTAATAAGGATACATTGCAACTTTGGTAGGGGCAACCCTGATTCTAAACAAAAACCTCCGACCTATTTTTTATCCAACATAACATTTGGATTTGATGTTAGTATTTTCATATTTTTTTTATTTAGGGTTTAGGGTTTAGGATTTAGGGTTTATAGAGGTGGGCTATAATTATATAGCCATCTGATCCAAAGAAAGTGAAGCATGTATTAATGATGAAATATGTCCTACTGCTAGCCAACTACTATATGTGTAGTGTGATAGATGAGCTATAAATATAGCCAGTTGTAGATTGTATTATTAGTCATGTAGTGTTATTCCGAACCATCAAAATTTCTATCCATTTCAGAACAGAAATTCTAACACGCGACCCCTCGCGCTGGAGTGCGACTGCGCAACCCGTCGCACGTGCCCTCTCTCACGCAGCACCTCCCCACGCTCCCACACCCTCCTCCCTGACGTGGCTCCTCCCTCCCTCCGCGAGCTCCTCGACGACCGTGCGCCCGCTCCCGAAGACGACAACGACGGTGGAGACGAAGTTAGCAGCAGCGGCGGCTCCGACGAGGTAGGCCGGTTCCTCCTCCTCCTGGATCTGAGCCCACCGGAGACAAAAGATGACGGCGGCGATGGCTAGGGTTCCGGCGAGCTTCTCCCCCTCTTTCTTCTCCAACTCCAAGGCTATAGAAGGGTCCGTCTGGGGGAGGCAAGCGAAGAAGCGGTTTAGAGGCCCTAGCGGTGGTAGCGGCGACCCTGACCAGTCAAGGCGAGGGAGTTTCGTCGGAGTTGGAGAAGACGCCAACAAATGAAGCTGGCGTGGAGTTGGAGAAGATGGCGGCAAAGGGGGAGGGGAGGGAAGAAGGCGGCCGCCACGGCCACTAGGGTTCGCGGAGCTCAAATGAACCCTAGAGCCCACGACGCTTGGCATGCGTGGTAGGCTACGGGGTGTGAGGACGATCAGAACGGGGGAGGCGGGGTCGAGGACGAGGCACGGAGGAGGAGGAGCGCGGGAGGTTGAAGACGGGTCACGTGCTCCTTGGCGCGTGACCTGTCCACGAGATAAATGTGCCCTTTTAGAACGGTCATGGGCTCCTCAATACGTGACCCGTCATGCATGATAATCGTCCTTTTAGAACTGTCGCGTGCTCCCTAAGTGCATGCTCCCTCGTAGCGTGACCCGTCGTCGATAATCAGTGTCCTTTAGAACTGTCACGTGCTCCCTCGGCAGTAACCCGTCACGCTATAATCAGTGTCCTTTAAAAGCGTCATGCTCCTCAACAAGATAACCCAAAGACGCGATAACCGTGTCCTTTTAGAACTAACAAGGAGACATTGCAACCTGGCAGGGCAACCCCAGATTCTAAACAAAAACCTCGGACCTATTTTTTTATCCAACACAACTTTTGGATTTCATGTTAGTATTTTTAGATTTTTTTTATCAAGACGATTCTCGATTTAATGTGTCAATTGTCTTCATTTTATTAGTCTAACAAATAAACATCACAGACTTCTATTTAATTTGGCGTAATTTTATTTTATTTTTTATTTAATTTAATAACTAAGGAATTGGCGCGATTTTTATTTTGTAGAGGAAAGAGTCGGGTCAACCGCTTGTAATGGCACCGGCTTCGTGGGCCATAGATGGGCCGTGCAGCGTGGGCTGAAGAAAACCGCATTAAAAATCAGACCAAACCCCCAGTCTCCTGTCTCTTCCCCATTTCGAGCCTCACTGACTCTCAATCCTCATTTCTTCACGGAACCCAATGATCGGCGGAACTGCCCTTACCGCCGTCACTCGCCGCCGTCGCCTGCTGTGAAAGATCAAGGATTCGCCGCCGTCGCAGCCGATCTTCTCGTAAGTGTTCCCTCCCTTCTCCCCTCCGGACAGCCCCTGCAAGAATCCGCCCCGAAGCTCTGATTTGTGCCTGGTGATCTCGTCCTTCTCAGAAGTGCAGGCTACCTGTACTCTTCGACGAGATGCCTCCGAAGGTCGCCAAGCGGTGGGTGCCGGTCAACCGGCCGGGGGAAGCCTCGTCGTCCTCACGCGGACACTCGGGAGGAGGAGGAGGAGGTGGGAGAGTCAACCCCGCCGCCGACCGCCTCAGCGCGCTGCCCGACGCGCTCCTCCACCACGTCATGTCGTTCATGAAGGCGTGGGACGCGGCGCGCACGTGCGTGCTCTCGCGCCGGTGGCGCGACCTCTGGGCCTCCGCGCCCTGCGTGGATGTCCGTGTCGGGAGGTATAGGGACCCGCCCCAGGACTTCGCCAAGTTCGTGTACCGGCTGCTGCTTGCTAGGGAGGCCCTTGCGCCGATAGACACTCTCCGCCTGCGGTCACCCGGTGAGGACGACGAAGATTTCGACAATTCTGATGTTAAGATGTGGATCCGCCATGCAATCAGACGGAATGCTCGTGTTATTCAGCTAACCGGTCACCCCAACCCCAATTTGTTGGCGGAGCTGGATCCTATGGACTTCGTCTCTCGCCACCTCAAAATCTTGAAACTGAACTATACTGAAGTGTCTGATAGCTTCACCAGGCAGCTGTCATCTCGTTGCCCTTGTTTGGAGGAACTAGAGCTCAAGAACTGCTTGGTAGAGGGCCGTGAGTTTACATCTGTCTCTCTGAAGAGGTTGACCATGGTCAAATGCACTTTTGCTAACTTCTTCTCTGTTGATGCTCCAAACCTTGTGTTTGTGCAGTGCATCGCGCCAGAGTCTTGGGTCCCTGTGTTCAAGAACTTTGGGGTGCTGGTAACAGGTAGTGTCATGCTTGATGACTCTTTATTGAGTAAGGAGTTTAAAAAGTACCAAGAGGACGCTGATGAATATCCTCGAACAAGTGACGACGATGATGACAACAACATTGCATTTGCCCCTAAATATGTTCCTGATTCTGATGACAGTGGTGATGAAATCCTCAGTGATGATTCTGGATTCTTAGATGATTTTTATGATGAGCATTATTTAGCAGATGATGTCAAGGACAATTATGATTATGGAAGTGATATCAATAGTGATAGTGACACGTGTATGAGTACAGTGAGATTGCAAATGGCTATGAAGATAAGCAGTTTGGAAACCGTGCCAATAGACTTGATCGCACTAGGGGCAATAAAGATCATGGTTGCAGTGCAAAGCATATCATTAATGATTATAAAAATTTGGTGGCCAGAATGTTCTCAATAGCCTTTCAAATGTTCGATACCTGGAGCTGTTAGGTCATTCTGGAGAGGTAGTTACATTCTATAATTCCGTTGTTTAATTTTTCATAATTCCTTAATTCTTTTGTCCAGTGTATTTATTATACAGTGTCTCTTGTTCTGTTGAATACATTATGAATTTGAGGGTGTCTTAGTAATCATTCAACATTTTCCTTTCCCATATCATTGCTGATTTTAGGGTGGATCCAGCTTTTTATACTATCATTGAATTCACAACACTGAAATGGTTAGTGCACCAAACATCAGATGCTTCCAAGTTTCTAACCCTCCTAAATTGTTGCAAGTTGGAACATCAATCACCAAATCAAAATTGATCACAAAAAAAATCACTAAATCAAAATTTATGATTTTCTCATAGGGGGTGTGTTTTATCAGTTCAATGTGAGCTGTCTATTTTTATGCTATTGTACTGCATGTTTGCTTTACATATTTTTTACCAGAATAGTGTAAATTAATTTCCTTTTCACTGTCTTCAGTTCTTGGCCCTTAGCCTACAATAATAAAAATTAGAGTTAATCTTTCAGGCCAATAGAGCACTTATAAATACCTCTTTTTTTCAAATTAAGTCAATCAGCTAACTGCAGAGAAAAAACTAAGCATGTTATATATGATGGAAATATTATCTCTTTTGAAGCGAATTTGGTGTTTATTTTGCTATATAGATTTTCTTTCATTCTATCCTATAAACTCACATCTGTTTCAGAACATTTGGACATGTAGTTTCATTCACCAGGTAAAAAACTACACTTTCCAAATGTAATTTTGTTAGCCATAAAAAATGGTGGATGATAATTCCTATCTGAAGAGTTTTGTGCCTTTCCAGTTGGGTTATTATTATTCATTGTTGTTATAGTTTGTTGTAAACAACTCACTCCTGTTTAAATATGAAGGTCATTATGAGGAGAGAATCGTTAAATTGTCCAACTTTTAGCAACCTGAAGACTTTGGCCCTTGGAGAATGGTGTATCAGTACAGCTGTTGATTTTGACATATTACTTCTCTTGCTTCGGCATTCACCTATTCTGGAGAAGCTTTATCTTCAGCTTGAAATGGTACGTACATGCTCGGTGTTTCTCAATGCTGACTCAAAATTTTAGCAGATGATTAATGAAGTTGATTTTTTTTGTTTGTCCTTCAAAAAGAACTGTGACATCCAGAAGGCATTGAGAAGAGGTATAGAGCCAAAGGGAGGATCATTTGCTTGCAAACATCTTAGTATGGTGAAGATCAGATGCACCAAGGACGATCCAAGAGTCCATATGTTGGCGCAGTTGTTTAGGTCTAATGGCCTGCCACTAGAGAAGATTTATGTCCGTCGGAGTGGGAGTTTCTGTGAGTACCTTGTGTGATTGTGTCCGTATGTTTTGGTCTGTGCACTATTGTTGTTTTTCACTCTTTTGTCATACAACACATCATTGAAGTTTCTGTTGCAATAGGATTTCTTTTTCTGGCCACTCATGTTTTGTTATCCTATATCCTGAACCTTTTTCTGTTCATGTTAATCTTTGCATTCACTAACTTTCTGTTGTTTTGTGCAGACCTCCGTAACTTGAAGCTGGAGAGGAGCATTACCCTCGATGAACTGCGTGAATATGAATCTTGATCCCATTCCTATTGAAAGCAGAAATGTGCGATATGACAAATTTGTACTCTTTTTTCAGTACCTTGTAGACCTGTTTCAGCTCTAGTTGATGATTGGAACATCATTTATGCAGAGAAATTGCAGGACATGTAGCTATATAATGCATGGTTGTTTCGCACATCTCTATCAAGTTGTCTTGTCAGTTGGTATCGTTTGAAGAACAAAATTCAGATTGGAGTACCTGGGGTTTATAAGCTGTGGTTTAGTGCCTTGGGTTAATCGTCAGCACTGTTTTCTTTTAACACAACGTGGGTTTAGTACCATGTGGTTCAGTTTCAAGTTTCTACTGTGTATGGTAGGGGCATTTATGTTGCATCTATGTTCAACATATTATCTAATCTCTAACACCAACTTTAGTAGAGCCTCTACTTGAGCCCCCAAAGAGGTAAAAAAAAAAACGTGCTTCAACAGGGTCTCTGCTAGAGCCGCGAAATTTAGGTGGGCACCCAAATCCACCCTCCACACCCCATTGGGCTTACCCCTAGGCCCCATCTTGCATTGCTTCCCACTCGCAGGAACTCCCTCCGCTTCGAAGACCCTCCTTTGCCCTCCCCTCTCCTCCCACTCGACGCCAGCTTGATGCGCGGCCCCTCCGGCGAGATTCATCGCCATAGATTCGCGTCGAGTGGCCCACGGGGAATGCGGCAGAATCCCCTCCTTTGGTCCTGTCTCGAGCCCTTGGTGTCCGCGCCTCCTCCATCTCGAGAGCGGCCATGGCTCCCCGCCGTTCAACCTCTCCTCATCGCCCGGCCATGCCTCGCCGCCGTCTAGTCCCTCCTCGCCACTCCCAGGCTCGAGTGCTGCCCACCTGGTGTCCCGCTCCATGGGGAAGAAAGGTTTGGCCCAATGATGACTGGGACCCCATGTCATTGTTTGCTAATATGGATTTGGGGGCCTTTGTTTGGGGGTTGATGCTACGGTGGAAGCAAAATATTATGCCAACAAAAGTAGGGGAGCACTCAAATCCAAAGTAGGAGCTGAAATCTATAGTGATGGTGCGGTGGAGTGGAGACTGATGCTAATGGTTCCATCCATTGACCATAATGCTGGATTCTTGTTAGGGTTCCATATCCCCATGACTAGTGATCATAATTCAGTGTTACTGATTCTTGCTAGGATCTCATACTCCCATGACCTTTTTTTTAATTTGGCCCTTTTGTCAAAAAAATCACGTTTACACCCCTGAATATCAAAATTCCGCTTTTAGACCCTCGTGGGTCGGCGGCCAGTGACATGTGGCGCTAAGGTAACATAGCCATAAATCATGGCACCGAGCTTTGAGACCTTGATAGCGTGCTCCATAAATCATGGCACCGAGCTTTGAGACCTTGATAGCGTGCTCCATAAATCATGGCTCCGAGCTTCGAGACCTTGATAGCGTGGATGTTCGACGTGGTGTCTACGTGGTGGCTGAGCTCGGAGCCGTGGGTGGTGACGCCGACCTCGACGCCGTGAAGCCCGGCGCCAACCTTGGTGCCTTGTGTCACGCTGACCTGCTAGCCTTTTCTCCTAGCATACGTGAATGTGTGCTCTGCGAGTGACTGATAGATAAAAGACACAACAATGCTCTGGAGGTGCATGCATGGCCACTTGCGATACTAGCCAGCTAGAAGTCTACATCGTAGCCTTAGGAGGATTAGTTTCAATGTCCCTTCACCATATGTTCGCGCCTCTAGTGCTGCAGTCTGCAGTAGAAAAAGAAGGCAGGGTGTTTGTTTTGTGGATTAAACTTGTCCCTATCACATCGAATATTTGATACTAATTAGGAGTATTAAATATAGATTAATTATAAAACAAATTACACAGATGGAGGCCAATTGGCGAGACGAATCTATTAAACCTAATTAGTCCATGATTTGATAATGTGGTACTATATTATCAAATCATGGACTAATTAGGTTTAATAGATTCGTCTCGCAAATTAGTCTCCATCTATATAATTAGTTCATGTTTAGTTCTCCTAATTAGCATCCAAACATCCTATGTGACATGTAACTAGTACTAGCTCTGTCCCCCAAAAAATACAACTATAAGGTGCGTGCTAATTAAAGTGGTTCACAGTTGACCAAATTTCAAGTGAATGATATCCACATTTATGGCTAAATCAATTTATTATGAAAATACATTTCGTAATCAATTCAATGATATTTATTTAATACCATAAATATTAATATTTTTTATTTATAATTGATCAAATTTAAGATAATAAAACGTTATACTGCACTATATTTACTTGCTTTTGAAGATAACATATATTTATTTGCTTATTAATATGATTAGCCATGTTAAAATTAATTAAAATTAAGATTTATATTGTGAACAACTAGTGTGCCTCTAAATTCAGAACGGAGGGAGTATTAGTCTAAACTTGTCTCTTAATGACGGATCTAGCTAATAATTGCCCTGTTCGCTTGGCTGATAAGCCAAGGCTGAAAGTACCGTTGGCTGATTTGTTGTGAGAAAAAAATATTGTTCGTTGGCTGAAAAAGTACGGCTTATAAGCCAAGCGAACAGGGACATATCGCTCAAAATATGTTTTTATGGTACAACACACGTTGGAATTTGAATTATTATGATATTAAATTTTTCAGTTGCAACACAGGTATTTTTTTTTTCAAGTTGCAACACAGGGCCAAGGTCAAAATATTAGTCTGCGCTTTTTTAATTGTAGTTTTTCAATAGTTATCATTCAACGTTTAAAAGTTGATACACATGTATCAAGATTCAAACTTAAAAGGCTGATAGAACCATCTAAATTTATTTGGTTCTATCGGTTTTTAAGAGTAGCACAGCCTGTGGCTTTAGGCGATTCAGTGCAACAATTTTGATGACAAAAAACAAACTATAATGCAGAGGAGACCAATCTCTATTATTTCCTCGGGTTACAAAACATGCACTAACCAATGTAATTTTAATATTATTAATGATATATAAATCTTAATTTTAACATGGTTAATCATATTAATAAGCAAATAAATATATGTTATTTTTAAAATCAAGTAAATATAACGCACGCAGATTGGAGGCATTTTGGATTTTAGCAGTGACACATCACATCGCTACGGCAAAGACAGACACGTGTGCAAGCCTAGGCCATAGGCCACGGCAGGCCCCCAGGTCACTGGCCTACTAAAGTTCCTAATATAGCTAAAGGGGTAAACAGTCTAATAAAATCACTAGAGCATAAGGTTAGTAACCTAAAAGGTGAAAAATAATTTTGCTCTAACTCTACAAGGGTTGGAAGCCACCTACCTAATAATTCTAGTTGCTATGATCACTAGACACATAAGAGGCTAAGTCACTACTCACTGAGAGCTTTCAAACAAGCTACACTAAAGAGCTCCACTAGGTGAAACTAAGCTAGTAAGCAAGCTCTTAAAACTAGCTACACTAAAAAGCTTGCTACAGAACAAGTTTGCAAGAACGTAAAGGAGTGAGTAGGCTAGTTAGTTTTAAGAGCTTGCTTACTAGCTTGCAACAACTATGGGGATATAACCCCCAATATCCACAAGACAAGACATGGGCCGCACCATCGGAGATGGTCCAGCCCACAAGATCAAAGCGTGCACGGCACTAGTCGACATGCACCGCAAGATATTGTATAGTACCAAATATGATACTTTCCTTGTAACCCTACCCCTCGAGAATATATAAGGAGAGGCATGGGCCCCTTAATCGACATCTACACACATCTCATATCTAATATAATCCACCAAAGACACATGACATAGGGTATTACGTCGATCAGACGGTCCGAACCTGTCTAAATCGCTATCTCTGTGCCTTATATCACCATCCGGTTCTTGATTACGCGCACCCCCACCGACAAATCTACCTTCGTGGGATACCCCTCGGAGGACTGCCGAGCATCTTTTGTAGACAGTTGGCGCCCACCGTGGGACTCGTGCGCGCTGATCCCTAGCGAACCGGACGGCGTAACTCAAGATCAACATCCTTCGTGGCAACTCGGCTGATCGCGTCGACATCCTTCGACAACCACGGCACACGTCTTCGTACGCGGATTGACACTGCCAAGCTCCGCCTACGTCCGTCATACTCTAACATGAGATCAACTTCGTTCTAGCCGTCAAGCGAGCTGCCCGCGTCGCCGACCAGATAACGCCATACACCGCCGACCAGACATTCTGTCTAAAGCTAAGTCACGCTTTAATATTTTCTAAATATTCTCCGATCTTCGTATATCGCCATAATGTTTCTCCGAGCTGTTTTCTCCATGTTTGCTCTTCAAACGATTTTTCGAACCCCCGAACAGTCATGTTGATGCTCGGATGTCCCCAGAGACGGCCCTGTCTCTGGCTCCTCCCTACACGTGCACAAGCATCTGTCCTCTACGTTATGGGTGGTCGGTAGCGGCTCCTTAGCGACGCTTTGTTCTTCCTACACGCACATGAGCTCCGCGCTCCGCGTTATGATTAACGGGCTAGCTAGGGCTGGAGACTCAGCTACACACTAACTGATCGGGCGATTTATATTAAATATAAATAAATCTTCAGAATAACACTATGTGTTCACATCAACTGATCGTCGAGCTGCATACGCTGTTTCATCATCATTGCTGATTCTTCTCCGGAGTTTATATATTTTTACATCATGTACTACCCGTTCTACATATTTGTATTACAGGATCATCGTCCAGGTGATCGGATCACCTAGTGCTCGGACTTCTCCATCGATCAACTGGTCGAACCACTAGGTTCATGGACTTCGTCACCGACCAATTGATCGGACTGTTCGTCGATCGCTTCTACTCAATGCTCACTTCGTCGTCGACCAGTTGATCGAACTATTCGTCGCTCGTGCTTCATCGCCAGCTGCGCCGGGGACTCCTCGGTGCTCGGGACATCGCCAACTACGTCGGGGACTCCTCGGTGCTCGGACATCGCTAGCTGCGCCGGGGACTCCTCGGTGTTCGGATGTCACCAGCAGCGCCAGGGACTCCT